TAAAAATTAAAAATATGGTAAGTAAGTTATAATAGAGAAAAAAATACCAGAGTAAGTTAGTACCTAACACAAAAGTATCAAACGAATTATTAAATACACATTTGATACTTACTATTTCGTTCTCCGAGACTTATTGACCGAGCATGAATTGTCCTAAGAGGCCCATTTAGTGAACTGGACCGTGGCGAGGAATCTCGCGCGTGACAAGGCAAGAAGCCTTTTAATGAACTGGACCGTGGCGAGGAAGCTCGCGTGTGACAAGTGATCAGGTCCGTAAGCGAGTCAGACCCAATTAAACCTTCGGGACCAAGCAGCCCAAGCCCACTCCACAAGAAAAACCTAATGAGAAGGATGTTATAATACTCGCAACAAGCCTTAAGGAGAGCTTGTTGCCATAAATAGAATATTCACAAATATGTAAAAAAGATCAATTAATATCTTTAGGGAATTAATCAATATCTCTGAATGACATTATTAAAACATCCTCTCTCTTGTATAAAAGGGGGATAAGGTCATAAGGAAAAGGCACGCTTTGAATAATAAATATTGATACTCTCTCACAAACTCTCTCTTTTAGGTTAACTGAATTCTGTTTTGTAATCTTACCACCGCCAGACCAAGATCCGACGCATTGTATACGCCTTTATAAGGAGTAGGATTTTGGGCCTTTATAAGGAGTAGGATTTTGGAGTGGGGTCTTGAGGATGTAGATGTAGGGTTTTGGAGTAAGATCTTGAGGGTGTAGATCGTACACCATCAAAACGACAGCAAGAATGGAAAGACCTGGAGTAACAGAAACCGAAAAACCACACATGGGAGACTAAAGAGCGATGCGAGCTCTCCCTCCCTCAACAAGCGACTCTCTGTATGTAAGCGAAATTTCCTCTCATACAACTGAGTTAGCTCGGGGCTCAAGATCAAGGCCCGTAGTTGACCAACAAGAAAACCCGATGGGTCACATCATTTCCGCGTTAGGGTATGGCAGAAAGTGAGAAAGGATCTTACCACCTCACCTAAATGGCCGATATAAATAAAAGCATTGAGGTACAAGAAAATGTATCATCTTTTCTATGGTAATAAGACACCACTCTCATACATCTTTCTAGTATACCGTTCTCCACAAGTATTCCGACTAACTTGATCATCGGAGAGTCTCCTGGTACTTCTTTTTTTCCTTTGCACTTGGCTTGGACGTTCTTATTTGGCTTCTCTAAGGACCTTGATATGCCTAATTGGGCCAACCCAATGGGCCTACAATTCCTTTACCTATTGGGCCACGAGCTCAATGTTGAAGAGTTGCCACCGATGCCCAATCACCTACCAATTAAGCTATAAATAAACATTTGAACTCATTCCTTAAGGTACGTCCTATTATCTGAGTAATACTACCCATTGTATTCTCTGGACCATTTATACTATCAGCACGTCTGACTTGAGCGTCGGAGGGGTTTCCGCCGGATCAACCCCCGGCCTAGTTCACGTGTTCTATAATCGCAGGTATCTCAAGGTCATCAAGCTCGTGAGCTAGTGATCCACTCTGCTCTTCCAGCTCATCCTACTTCAACTCTCTAAGGTGATCTATCTCTAACATCATCAGACATTTTCATTCAAGTCAAATAACCTATAAATATATTCACCTATCAAATTGTTGTTAATAAAAAATAATTAAAATGCTTTATATATGTAATTGTCGAATGTCCTAAATCAGGGGCGGAACCAGGATTAAAATGTAGGGGGGGCTAACTAAAATTTTGGGGTTCGGGGCAGCGCCCCGAAAAAAAATTGAGGTGCACAAAACATTGCAAAAAATAAGTTTATATAACTAATTTTTAATTAAAATATCACATATATATATATATAT